CAAGAGATATTAACCCAACACGAACTGGTTCAGGCTAAAAGGTAAGTGTATTGGAACTCATACAGCATGTTTATGTGGAAAAGGCAGGGGTGACTGCTTCATCCAGTGCTCACCCCTCAGCCAGCTGGCAAGGATTTCTCAGAAGGGCAAGAGTGTTGCCCAGTGCCCACCTCACATCCAGAGCTCTGGGGCCTGCCCCGCTGTCAAAGACCTCACTCAAGGAGGTCAGCTTCCTCTTGGGTTTTCTGTTTCCTTTTCCACCACCAAATGATCAAGTCTTTCAAAAAAAAAAAAAAAGCACTTCTTGTCTACAGCCATGCCACCCTAAATGTGCCCGATCTTGTCTGATCTCGGAAATTAAGCAGGGGGTCGGGCCTGGTTAGTGCTTGGATGGGAGACCACCTAGGAAGAACCAGGTGCTGTAGGCGTTAAATAAAAACACTTCCCCCAGGCCTAAATTCTTCCCCCTTTATGATAAAATTCTTGAAGAAGTCTACACTCTCATTCTTCCCTCTTCCCCACTTCATTCCTACATTCCTTTCCTACTCCTCTTCAAGGTGGCCTGGTTGCTGAGCCCCAGGGATCCCCTGTCTGTTCACTAGCTCCCCTTCAGAGTTAATGACTCCCTTCTGACTCTCATCCTCACTTTGTAACTGCTCCTCCATGGTCTCCTTCCTCAGAAGTCAGGCATTTCTCCAGTCTGTATGTTGTGGACCTTCAGACTTCTCAAAGCCTGAGCCCCCTGCTGAGCTCCAGGTCTGTATATCCTGATTACTGCTGAGTGACTTCACTAGGGGTGACCCACAGGCACCTGTCCCATGCTCCCAGTGCCCAGGGGTTCACCCAGTCTCTCCCAAGTCCACCGTCCTTTCCTGCTGCCCTCCAGAGTTCTCTGCACCCCTTTCACTCCCATCCCCACCGTGCTCCAGCCCATGGATTCACGAGCAGTTCCTGTGTTGACTCTTCTCCATCTTGTTCCAGTGCCAGAGCACCCACTGCAGCCCTGTTTCCACAACTCTAGCTAATTCACCTTCTTCCTTCATCCCAGACCACCTACTCAGTGCTCCAACAGCACCTGAGCACTCCACTCTAAACCTCTGCTTTCCCCACTGACTACAAGCAGCTCCCAGACTGGAATGTTGTTCTCTCCTCTGGGCCAAGCATTAGTTAGTTGGAGCTTAATGATGAGCAAATGACTTTGTGTTTCGTGCTGGGAGGGACTGGAGGATGAATTCCAGAGTTTATAGTTTGGAAGGGGACAGCAAACATTTCTGGAAAGTTAGGTATGTTGCCAGAAAGAAAGGGCCCAGAGCTACCCCTGGGGAGCTTAGTTGTTCTGGTTTGGATTTTTTAGGAAAAACTACAAATTACAGGAAAAATAAAGGTACTCCCATTACTCTTTTTAAATAAGCACCAGGGACTTTGAATAAAACATTCTGTAAACCAAAATTAAGCTAGTTTATTGAACTCAAAGAATCATTTTCACTAAACCACAAAGCACATGTTTTTCTAAAAATTACTTGGTTAACCAATACATCTAGGAATGAAGTCTGTATTTCCCAAAACAAAGTGAACACACATTCGTTTCAGGTCCCTGCTAAATAAGTCAATTTGGAAATTCACGTGTGTGGCCTGCCTGGGCAACTGAATTCCAGGTGCCCATGACCTACTGTGGTACCCATTTTGCTATCCCCTCCCCCATCTTTGCCACAGGATACGATGCACCTGCTCACCCAGTGACTGGCTACCATGATGCCAAGCCCTACCCTGGCCTTTGCATTTGCTATTCAGCCTAAATGCGAAGGTTGGCTATTAACCCTATAAACAGGCCTCTGCCCTGCAGAGGTTGATGGCTGGTGTAGAAAGCTGAGCTGACAGAGAGGCTGGAGCATGTTTTGAGTGCTGTGCCCAAATCCATGAATAGTCCTAGGTTGAGCACAGTATGGGGAGGGGTTGGAACCTTTAAAGGCAAAATTATTTCTACCCACTGCTGATGGCCCTACAGATGCTGCACCGCCCCCTTATCTGGCCCTTTTCATAGGCCTGCTTGGAGGGGAAAGAGGTCACCTGTGGGTAGGTGTGCCCCACCCAAATCTACCTGTACCTTAAGTGGCCCAATCCTTGTGCCCAGGTGTGTGGATGAGAACTGGTCCACAAAACCTATTTTACAGGGGGGCAAACAGAAGCCCTTAGAGAGGGTGGTTATAGCCTCCCCCAGACCTCAACAGGCTGCTGGGCTCCCCACTCTTAGGCTGCCATTTTTCCACTAAGGAGCGTCCTGAGCTGGGTGGGACTTGGGTTGTCCTCAGGCATTGCCCCTTTCTGGGCTGCAGTTTCCTTTTGGGATCAGGAAAGACAGGGCTTTCAAGGACTAAGGGCAAGAGCTTGAGGATGCAGACTGGGAGGTTGGAAGATGAATGTTCAGGGCACAGACCAGACTGGAGCAGGGTTCTATGACTTCAGATCCCTAGGAAGAAGTGGGGATGGAGCATTTGTCTGCTGATCCCAGGACCAGTGGCTGAAAATACACTAGAAACATAACAGTGGGAAGAGAAAGAGGTTAGATGATGAGCTTCTCCCCCTCCCCTTTTTGAGATGTCGCTGGAGTCTAGGCTGGGAGCAGGGTGTGGAGCCACCTCATCCACAGCTCTCCCATGGTGACTAAGGTTGCTTTCCCCAAGGCTTGGGGCTCCTGGATGGAGTTCCATCCCAGGGGCATGGTACTCTGCTCCTCTTCCCCTTTCCCTCTACTCAATTCACATCCCCAAATGCCACAGAAAAGATATGGCAAGCCACAGAGAAAAGGAGCAGAATGCCTGCCATTCTGGTCTCCCAGCACCCAGTGCCCCAAGTGGCCCCATACTGCTGCCTATCCCATAGAGAACTGTTTCCTGTGACCATCATGAAGTCTGTTTCAACTTTCTCCCACTTCTGGATTCCCAAAGGAAGGAGGGTAAGGCTAACCGACTGGGGCAGCTCCCAGGGCTGGGACCCCTGTAGTCCTGGGATGAGGAGCAGTGGCAGAAAAGTGATTAGGAGACACTTAAAGCTGCCCTGAAGTGCCAGTTGTCCAAGGGGACACAAGGAAGTGGGAGAGGAGGGTGTTGGTATGGGTGGAAGTGTCAGACTCTTTGAATGCTGTCCACTATCCATGGGAGCAGCCCTGCCATGGCCAGCTTCAGGCTAGGTCTCCTGCCGCTGCTGCTGGCCACCTATCCTGCCTGCATCCTTGAAGCCTCAGCACTGGTCCCACAGCTGGTACCCTGGAGAAAAGCAAGCCTCCAGCTCACCCCAGCACTTCCAGCATGCCCCAAGGGCCCTGGGTGGGTTCTGGGTCTCCCCATCCTGAATGGGAAGATGCTGGCTGGGGCTCCTTTACCTACTTTGAACCTTGGGTGGGGATGGTGAGGGTAGGCTCCATTCTAGAGCAGGATTCTGAGCACTGCAGCGCAGTCAGATTGTCCATAGCCTCCCAAGCTATACCCTGGCTCCCTTCAAGGTTACTGTGCCCTGGGTGGGCAGGACCACAGGCCAGTGGACCTTCCACAGGAAGCAGAAGATACTGGTAAGTAGGGTGAGAGGTCCCCAGCATTGACTACCAAGGGCCATCGTGACTAAGGACTGGAGACTATGTGGGTGAAAGAGGGGGTAATGAGATACCACTGAGACACCCCTGCCACAGCACCTTCAGCTGTTGATGACCCCCACACACCGCTGCACACAGCAGGGTGCCATCTTCTATCCTATTTCCCAGAAGTCTAGACAAGATACCTATGTTAAAAGATTAGAAGTCACTAGTGGAGTAGGAAATAATTGTACTAAAAACCTCAATAAATAAGACAGGGACTGCAGTGGGGTCCCCCAGGCTTCTTTCTTGCCAAAGGAAGCCAGTGTGTTTGTTCCCCTGCCAGTGGAAAGAGGTGAGAGGTGCGGCCGCAACACTGACAGGTAGCAGGGCCCTGAGAAATAGGTGGCACTAGGAATGACCCAGTGATTGCACAGCTCCCAAGGCCATAGCAGAAGACAGGTGTGTGGAGATGGATTATTACTACTTTGCACATTGTATTTTAAAGTGTACCAGGAGAGCTCGGTAACTAATGAAAGTGGTAGATTCCTGAGGCAAAACCTTATCGCCTAATTTGAGTCTGAGTTCAGGTTTTACGTATCAGGTGTGTATTGGGTGAGCAACGCGGTATGCCCAGGGACCTGGAGTGCCCCCACCCTGGGTCCTATAGGAGCCTGGGACGCGTCTGCAGAACTAGGAGCCTGCGGACTGGAGGGCGGCCGCATCCTGCTCGTTGATGCCAGGTCAGGAGGGGAAGGGACGGACCAGACTGCAGCTCGGCGGCCAGGTGACCAGAGCTTCCGCTGGAATGACTGTTCCCTTCCCCCCACAAACTGGACCCCAAGCGTCGCGCCCCGCCGCCCAATAAAAACATGAGGTTACCTTGAGTTCTCTACTGCGTCCCCTTCCTCTCCCTCCCACTAGCTACTTGAACACTTCCCCGCATGGGGTCTGGAAGGACGCGGGCCTGGCCCACAGGCAGAAGAGATATGGAGTGGGACCGGGCCCACGCAGCGAGAGCCACACAGCCGCAGACATCCGAAGGCTAGGTTCGCTAGCCACCGGAGCAAGCTCCAGAAGGCTGAAGGAGGGGAAGCGGGAAGACCGTGGACTCCACGTCCCATGGTGCCCCGCGCCCGCTTCCGGGCCCCGTGATGCCCTGCGGCGCACTGGACGCGGGGCGGCTTGGGTCATGCTGCGTTCGCTAAGCCGGGGCCTGGGTGGCCG